GGGCCCTCCGAGGGCAGTGAGAGGGGCTGGGGATCCAATCCCCCTCAGATGTGCTAGGCACACAGCAAGCGCTCACTGGATGCTCCCAGTTGCTACTAGCCTGATGGGGATCTGAACCATTTCAAGTGCCTTTCTGACTTCTCTGGCTCCCGTCCAGTCTCTGCCAGGCGCCCCCGAGGGATATTTCCTTGCTAAAATCTCATTATGTTGCTTCTAATTCTGAATGCTCAGTGGCTCCCCATGGCCCTCATGGCATCTGTGCAATTTGACCCTCAGCACAACTCCAGTTGGACACCAGCAAAGACCTACTTGCCCGACCAGACCCAGCTCAAAGAGCAAGAAGAACACCTCTTCCAGGATGCCTTCCCAGATTTCCCAGAGCACAACAAATCTCTCCCTCCTCCCTGTGGTTCCTCAGCATTGGGCAGAAAACTGGCCACACACAGTCCATCCTCCACACCCAGCTTAGTCCCAGAATCTGCCCACTTCTCTTCGTCTCTGCCTCTATCCAGTCCTGGCTGAGCTCACTCTACCCAGTTGCCTCCTGGGCTCCCCTCCGGCCTTCTGCCGCTTCCACTCTTGCCCCACCAGTCCCTGCTCTCGACAGTAGTCACAGAGGCTTTTGAAAATCATAAACCAGACCCTGTCCCTCTCTGCTCACACACCCTCCATGGTTCCCCACGGCTCTGCAGTCTATTTCTTGACCTCAGCCCCTGCCTGCAGATCCCTCGGTCTTCCTCTTCCTCCTCTCCCCCCCTCGCTCATTCTGTTCCAGTCACAGCAGCCTCCTCACTGTTCCTCAAACGTGCCAACCTCATTTCTGCCTCAGGACCCTTGCATTCGCTGTCCCTGCTGCCAAGTATGCCGTTCTCCCAACTGCCACCTGGCTGGCTCCTCCTCCCGCCTTCTGTCCCCCCTCCAGGAGCCTCCCTCTCCCTGGGTTGTTCTCTCATACATCATTGCGAAGGGGGATGGCTCAGTCGGTTGAGCATCCAGCTCGATTTTGGCTCAGGCCATGATTCCACACACAGTTCGTGAGATCAAGCCCCGCACTGGGCTCTGAGCTGACAGCAAGGAGCCTGCTTGAGATTCTCTCCCTCTTTCTCTGCCCTTCCCCCACTCATTCATTTTCTCTCTCTCTCTCTC